GAAAAAAAGGTTTATACCACGAAAAATCCAAAATTAGTATACCTGTAACAAATTTACCCTCCGTTAGTTTCTGTTAAATTTTATCGTCAAATTGCTGAGTTGGATGACATGTGGTAGTTGACGGACATATCAGTTTGGAGTTTTACCCCTCTGTTTGTCATGGGTTTACCAATTCGTGATTTTCCGTGGTATCAAATCAATTTAACGGAGAGTAAATTTGTCACAGGTGTACCGGTTTGGGATTTTTGGTAGTTAAAAAATTAGTTTTGAGCTAAATTTATCACAAATGTACTAGTTTGAGACTTTTTGTGGTATTAACCCCCGAAGAAATGGTGGGAAAGGGCGACGCATTAACCCCATGGCTTTAGCAAGGCAACACCAGACAGAGACGAGGCAGAGAGGTTTCGATTTGTTAGATCCAAAGCTCGAAAAAAAAATATCTCCCTCTTCCTATATGGTGTTTATCTTATGATATTTTCGTATCAAGAAATGATATTTTTCTCCTCGTGAAAATAAAGGGATATTGTCATTTACCATGCTTGCAAGCATGGTCTCTCCAAAAAACGACCACAATGGTGAACCAAGAACACACGAAATACTTGTTTGAATTATTTGTACGTGCAAATCATACTATGAAAATCACACAAAATCTGACGAAAATGTGGAAAAATACGAACCCCACTCCATAAACGGTGTGATGGGCCATACCACTTTCTTTTGGAATGTCTATTTAACAATCGTGCATTCACGCGATAGTTTCGGGCATCATATTCAAGCTACCCAATGATTTTGGGCGGAAAAAAAAAATGTTGCCTTTTGTTCATTTTCTTAGTCTTTTGAAATTTGCCCTAGACTTTCATTTGCTTTGCTTCAAGATGACATTTTGACTCATTTGCCGTACCCAACAGAGTATATCTAGAATCGAATCATGATGGCTCCACTCATTTCTGCCAAAAGCTAGCGATTCCTCCGCGTTCTTTCCTCTCTCTCTCTCTCTCTCTCTCTCTTTTTTGGCTCCTTCGTCTTTCGGTCTCCGCGAATCGCGATGCAAATCAAGAGAAAATTGTCCAAAAAGTCCTAGATCTATTGCACTTTTGCATATTCAGTCCTAAACATATTCAATTTTGTTAAGTGGGTCTATCCGGCTAATTTTAATCAGGAATCGCTACGTGGACGCCGGTAGTGTCACGTAGGTCCACATAAGACAGCCGGCGCTGACGTGAAATTTTTCTTATAATTTTTTTTTCTTTTTCTTTCTTTGTTTTCCTTTTTTCTTTTTACCAAGTCCAGCAAGAGCGATCCTCGCCCGACCATTGGGCAAAGGTCGGCGACCCTCGTTGGCCACTAGGCGACACCCTCGCCTAGATCTAACAAGGGCTATGAAGCCCTCACCAGTCGCGAGCGACAGTTGGTCGGCCCAAGCCTATGACTAGTGATGGTTAGCAACCCTCGCTGGCAACCCTAAAATAATAATAATAATAATAATAATAAAGTAAAAAGAAGAAGAAAAATATAACAAAAATTTAAAAAGAAATCAGAAATTTTAAAAAAAAATTATTAATATTGTCTACATCAGTAATTTTCAGCTAAAATTAATCGGATTGACTCAATTGGCAAAATGTGAAAAATTTTAGAATTCAATTGATAAAATTGAAAGGTTTAGAATTGCATCGATAAAAATGGGATAAATTTATAACTTTTTAAATAATTTTTCTTCAAATCAATAAAACACCTGTCCCGGATATACGTATCGCGTCGAAACCCTAACGACACGTTTCGAGGAGTAGAGATCGGGATCGATCGGGGAGTGCCTACTCAAGGCAGCTACAATGATTGAATTTTGCAAGACCCCTCGTGACGCCCCGGGGGACCCCCCAACGATCAATTCCCCAGTCGGTCCTTCCTTGTTTGGCTCTGGTCCATGCCCTAGCTGCACGTCCCCCCAGTCTAGCTGATATGATGGTACGCAGTGGCACCCATGTCTGGCATCAATTGAATGTCGAAATTTATTTCTGTTCACCTTGACTTGGGTAAAACCAAGCGTGAGGATGGGAACAGGAACGGGTCCGATGCAATAATTTCATTAACGGAACGGAACGATGCGCCGACGCTCCTCGATAGAAGTTTGATCTTGTGGGATCGATGAGAGCCGTCCGTTCCGGTTCAACCCCATGTCTCGTTTTGTTCTTACGCGATTTTTGTATCATTTCATGGGTTGAAAATTTACGAACCTAACGTGAGAATTCATGCCGCTAAGGACGTTAAAGGACGTGGACGCCAACCGTACTCTGTGACAGAATTGGTGCTAACATAGGTAACTTTTGTGAATTTTGTATAAAAATAAAATTTTTATTATTTTCTGAATTTTTCTTTTCCTTTTTTTTTTCTATGTTTTTTTTTTTCATTGAGCCTGCGAAGGTCACCGTGCGAAGGCCACGCCCAGATGAGGGGAGGGCCTCCTAGCCTGTTGTCGGCAGTGCTACGATGGCCCCCGGTGTGGCCATCACGGCCTGTCAACCACGAGCGAGGTGGCCCTTGCCCAGATCTGGCAAGGGCCTTCCCGCCCTCATCCAAACTGGGTGCCGACGAGGGTCACGGCACAATAAAAAAAAAAAAAAAAAGAAAAAATTCAAAAATTGTTCACGTTAGCGTCGGTTATGTCACATAGGACGTTGAGTGTCCACATCAGCGATTTTTGGTCAAAATTGAAAAAGGTTTACACTAACTTGGTCAAACCGAAAGATTTAAGACTATATTGACACAAATATAATATATTTATGACTTTTTCGGTAATTTTTCTCCCGTACTCAATTATCATTGGTTACATAAGTTTCTAACCCTCTAATGCCGGGGACGGCGGAGGACAATTGGGAGTCCCCTACCTTGGGCTGGACGCTAAAGGGGGATTGCAAATGTCCCTTCTACTAATCATGACATTATAACATAATTAGAGCTTGGGATTGCATTGATTAATCAAAGTCCTGGCGTTGCTGGCTTCATACTAATTCTGCTTACGCAGTCAAAACGCGCACGCCGGTGAGAAGATCCCTCTTCTTCCTTTCTACATATTAAAGATTATCACCATGCTTTGTTACTAAAGAAGACGATCAAAGTGAATACAAAAATGCAGCACAACTCATTGCCGAAGCTACGCTGTTTTTTCCAGGGTGTGGACAACCAATAACCTCAAAAGAGTCGCCATGATCTTATGTACTAAGGACATATGTTTCACGCCAAATGCTAGAACTGCTGTCCAAGAATCACGACAACATTCCAAATACTTTTAAATCTATTATACGGAGGCCAAATTCAATTATAAACCTTTTAATTATGTCAATTTAGTCTTAAACCTTTTGACGATTTGTCAATTTCGTCCTAAACTTTTCATTTGTGCAAATATAGTCCTAAACCTTTTGACGATTTGTCAATATAGTCCTTCCGGTGAAATATCTAAATAATAGATTTAGGATAAAATTGGTAAATCTTCAAAAGGTTTATGACTAAATTGAGACAATTGAAAGGTTTGGGACTAAATTTGCAAGTTGTCAAAAAGGTTTAGAACTAAACTGGCCGCCGTACAATAGGTTTAGGACTTTTAGAACAATTATCCCCAAGAATCAAGCACCCATGATTTCATCACTGATTAACTGTTGCTAATCATGTGATCTGAGCATGCTTTAATTATTCTTAGATTCTTAATGCATTAGGGTCGTATCGTTTAGTAATTTCCGCGGCCTTAACTTATGGGTTTTTATAAATCTCTATGTGGGTTCGTAGCATTAAGGTTTTGGCTCCACTTCTCATCATGAAAAGCAAAACCAAATCTGCTTTTTAAGTAGCTTACATGCCAAGGATGTATGGTAGCCGGAAAGCACGGGGCAAAAGGGGCTCCAAAAGAGGCCTTTTGACAACCAATGCGTCGGCTTCGCTTGCATCTCCATGAAACGCCGGAATGATCGGACATCGTCAACAAAAACCGACCCTGTTGTAATTATATCATCACCCCCATGAGACATTTTCAGACTTTTCCTGCGCAATTCCAATTAAAACTTGGCGAAAGTTTGGCCTCATCCGCAAGAGAAAACAGAGATGTGGGGGTCGAAAGCAAGGCTCGTTTTCCTAATCCCGGAAGACCCAAGAAAGAAAGGGATGGATTAGTAAATTGGCGCCATCGATCATATCAGAAGCATAGTAAAACTGGCTGTTTCTTTTGGACAAGGTCGATGACGCCGGGCAGCATACAGCTCGCTTTGTCGTCCACTCATGTTTGTCCCCTTCCAATTTCACTCCCGCTGCCTTTTGAAAAAGTAAGTTGTTGGAACAAAACAAAGTTAGGAAAAGGGGAAAAGCAAAAGCAAAAGAGGAAAGGCCTCAATAACCATGACAGTGTTTTGGCTCCCCAATGATCTTTCTGACTTTTTTTTTTACAGGTGATCTCAATCCTAATGTCGTAGATCAAACATAGAGTTGAGCATTACTCAGCTAAATACTCGTTTTGTTTGGAAAACATAATTTGCATCGATCAGTGATTCGAGGAAATTATCTAGGACATACAACTTGCTCCGTCTCCGTGTATGAGCGAGATTGCACACAGTTACAATAACATGTTGTCAAACTCGTGCCATCTCGATAATAACATGACCCGGCACGGGGTCACAGATCGCGTGCGCGTAATTGCGTATCATTGTATAAGGAACAGCGATTGACTTGGTTTACTATAACGAGTCTACATCATCATTAAATTCTAAATTTTTTAATCCATGGGAAGCATGGCCACCCACTTGATGCGCCTTAGACTAAAACCAAGGCCCAGTGATGTATCCACCATACCTGCTGGGACATGAACGGGAGACCCCCCATCATCCCTGGTGAATGTATACCAAGGACAAGGTCAAACAAGTACACAGGTTAGACTTTTTCAATGTGTTCACATCAGGCCCCAAAAGCTATCAGGCAACCCTGTCCATACCACCCCACTACAAACAAAAGGAGGTCGTGGCAGATTTTCAGGCCAATCAGATTTCGTTATATACCCATCAATGCTGATTCAACAAAGCAAACAAATCTTGATCTGAAACCAATGAGAGAGAGAGAGAGTGCCGCATTGAGGTCCCTTTTGAGATGAAATCTGCAACAAAGTTTAGTATGCAGACCTCTGGCAATGGCACGGGGGAGGTGAAACAGGTCTGCCTCGACGGGTGCTGCCCGACGCCGCTGCTCGGACTACCTGAGCAGCGGAGCTCCGCGGTTCCCAAGCCGAGGAGCGCCTTCTCGGCTTGTCGGCGCAATTTCGCGACCACCACTTCGTCCTCTATCTTTCCGAATGCTCAATTCACAAACCACGAGTCACTCCCATCCCTGAAAGAGTCGTTCACCGAGTTCACCAGGGTCTATCCTCAATACACCGGGACCGTTCAGGTGGACGAGCTCCGATCCCGGGAATACTATCACCTATCTGCTTCCAATCACACCTGCCTTGATTATATAGGCGTAGGCCTCTTCTCTCATTCCCAATTGCAGAACCCGGAATCCTCAAGATCCCCACAAGCCGGTTCGTCCTCATCTCCACCCCAAAAACCAGATTTCCCCTTCTTTAGCTTATCTTACAAGACAGGGAGCCTCAAGACACGGCTGCTTCTGGGCGGCGAGGAGTCCCAGTTGGAATCATCCATGAAGAAAAGGATCATGGGTTTTCTCAACGTCTCCCAGAGTGATTACTGCATGGTCTTCACTGCGAACAGAACGTCGGCTTTCAAGCTCCTGGCAGAGTCGTACCCCTTTCCATCCAGCCGTAAGCTTCTGACAGTCTATGACTACGAGAGCGAGGCGGTGGAAGCAATGGTAAATGGCTCTGCCAAGAGAGGAGCCAAAGTAATGTCGGCTGAGTTCTCGTGGCCGAGGCTCAGGATCCAATCGACCAAGTTGAGGAAGACGATTGTTAGAAAGAAGAAGAAGAAAGACAAGAGAGGGCTTTTTGTCTTTCCCGTCCATTCGAGAGTGACGGGAGCTAGATATCCTTATCTGTGGATGAGCATGGCGCAGGAGAATGGGTGGCATGTTCTGCTTGATGCTTGTGCTCTGGGACCAAAGGACATGGACAGCTTGGGTCTGTCTTTGTTTAAGCCAGATTTCATCATCTGTTCATTCTATAAGATATTTAGCGAGAACCCATCAGGATTCGGATGCCTTTTCGTCAAGAAATCCACCCTTCCGAGCCTTGAAACATCGCTCGCTATGGGAGTTGTCAGTCTTGTTCCGGCTGAGAATTCGCTGAAACCGCCGGATGAGTCCTCTGGTACCGACACAGAACTTGATCAGACATACTCTAATTCAAACTCTTTCTCAGGTCCCATACCTGTTGAGACGCATTGTGGACCATCTGATTCTGAGCAACTGGGAACCTCTTTCCCCCAAGCTGTTGAACTACCGCCCATCAAAAGTAGAGAACCAGCAACTTCTGAGATTGTTTTATCAGAGAAGACTGATGACAAAGCCCCACAAAATGTTGGCAATAACAGCAGCAACGGAAACTCGGAGCTCCAATGTGCGGGTTTGGATCATGTGGATTCACTAGGAATGACATTGATCAGCAACAGAGCAAGGTACCTGATCAATTGGCTTGTGAACGCCATGTTGAAACTCGAGCATCCCAACACAGAAGGTGTTCGCCTGGTCAGAATATACGGACCGAAGATCAAGTTCGATCGTGGACCGGCTTTGGCATTCAATGTGTTTGATTGGAAAGGGGAAAAAGTCGAGCCTGTTCTTGTGCAGAAGCTTGCCGACAGAAGCAGCATTTCGCTTAGCTATGGATTCTTGCGCCACATCTGCTTCTTGGATAAACACAATGAAGAAAAATTGAAAGTTTTAGAGAAAAGAGGGACTGGAGCAAATGTGGCTGTGTCGAACAAGAAGGACAAAGCCAACCAGGGCGTAAGAGTGGTCACCTTAGCTCTTAGTTTTCTATCCGATTTTGAGGACGTGTACAAGTTATGGGCATTTGTTTCTCAGTTTCTGGATGCAGATTTTGTGGAGAAGGAAAGATGGAGATACACTGCTCTGAACCAGAAGACTATCGAAGTTTAGCCTCTGAAAAGCCATTTATTTATTTTCTCAATGTAATGGATTGATTTCTACAACTGTGAGTCTGTACGGGAAGTCAAGACCGAGCACATTTCCAATACAAACTCACCTTCTTCTCATACCTTGTTCCAGTCGCTGCATCCAACTTGTTTCGTTGTCTCATTTACGAACTGATCAATCAAACTGAGCGAGAAACATGCACAGCTAACATGATGACGATACCAGTATTCCTGCTTCTATGTTCTTGGCAGGAATTGACAGTTCGAAAGTCAAAGCCGTAGTTTATTGTGGCCACGACTTGTTACTCTTACTCTTAATATCAAAGCAGTTCGTTTGATCTTTTTTCTCGCTCGGGCCAAGTTCACATGTTTCATTGGGCAGCAACAAATCTCAGATTATTATTGTCACGTGAAGAAGCTAGTAATTCAAATTGTATAAGGAGGATAAAAGCTCAGCGTCGAAAGAGGAGATACATACTTGACGGGGTGACTCATAAATAGAAGCCTCAGCGCCATCATGACAACATATACTCGGGATTCGTGGTAGTTATTTAAGAAATCTGAGAGTAATAATAGCAAATGCAAAGAAAGATCAGATCAGAGAAGAGCAGTGACAAGGACACATACGCGAGGAAGAATCGGCGAAACAACAGAAATAGCTTGCCTGCACCTTGGGCTTCACATTTGAATCCCACGGCAGTCGATTCTAATAAAGAAACATCTCTCTCGAGCATATCTACAAACAGCTTGCGTGCATTCCAACAACATCATTGGACACCTCTTCATGGCTGGCTAAGCCCAAAAAAAAAAATATGTTCATCCATCACCTCTATAATTTTCTTCGGCATAGACGCATCTAGACATAAGAATCATCAACATCTGAACTATTCTGGGTTCAAAATTGTCACGTTGCAAATTGAGGGTATTCACCAGACTGGTTATTCATCCCAAACAATGAAGTCTTAAAACTTTTTTCCATCTGACAAAAGCTAAGCTTACATGTGAACTCATGAGTGATGACATGTTTACTATGGGATACCTCAAAAGTAAGGGATTGGAGGGACAGATATCTTAAGAAAAAACAGAAAGAAAATCTATGTATAAGCTTCTGACTTTCCCCTTTTTCTGTTCGTTTTTCTTGAAAGAATTCTATGGACAAGCTTGGATGAGGAAGAGAACAGGCCCCTCTGCCTGGTCACTGGTCAGGGAGTGAATTTTGGTGGGTCTTCACCAAGATCCGTGGCCAGCTTGTGAGCTACCATACTAGAGCGATTCTATAAAGCATGATACTGCAGACCATAAATAATTGCATCTCTTAAAACAAGAGCATTTGCCTTGGATGAGTAAATCCCATGCCAAGAAAAGTACCTTGGTGTCCTCGTAGATAACCAAAAAAAGGGATTTCGTGCATCAAATGAATCCGTGACAATCACACGTGGGGAAACAAATTAATAGTGGTTCAGAGTACTTTCAAATGCGAAACTTGTCGGGATGCACTAGATTGATGGAAATGACAAGCGTCCCGTTTGAATGATTCAAATCGAGTTAGATTATTTATTATGCAAAATGTTGTTTGTAAGGGAAAATTACTTAATCGGTTCTAAGTCTATTGTGCGGATGTCAATTCTAAACTTTTCAATTTTGCCGATTTAATTTTAAATCTTTGTATGGAATTCCAACATAGTCCTTTCGACCGATTGTTGCTGGAAATGGTTGATATGGCAGTTCAGTCGTTGCCGGCCATCCTATGTGGCACATTACCACGTCAATGATTTCCGGTGAAAATTGATCGGAATGACTAGATTGGAATTCGAGCAGAGGTTTAGGATTAAATTGATAAAATTGGAAAGTTTATGACTGAGTTGACTTCCGTTCAATAGATTCAAGACTAATTAGACAATCTCCCCTCATTTGTAACGAGTAGTTCTTTTTTCAAACATTTGAATCAACCTTCCATAAATCCAAAAGATGACTTGTCTCAATATTACCTGTCAAAAATGACGGCAACAAACGCATCGTAATCTTCAATCAATCCGGGATATTTACATTATGCCAATGCACGATTTAGCTTTGCTTCTTTCATTATTTAACCAGTGTTTAAATTAGACAAACACATACATACTTTTGTCTCAGTATTAAACTACCAACCCTCGCGCGCCCGCTTTGCTGGGTGTAGACAGCTCACAAACGTTTGAGCTTTCAAAAAGCACTCCATTTGTCATTCAGACTTGAAGTTGCTGGTTTGCTAAAGGAGGAAAGATCTGCACTGCCTCAAGCTGACAAAGACAACTCGCAAATGTTATTTGTTTGCCTGTTTGTCCAAGAAACTCGATTAGCATTAGCAGTTGTGGAAGTTTGATTGCATCTTCGTTTTGAAGACATGCCTCTTGTATTGATTTGTAGGGGGGAGTGGCTCTCGAGCTAGTGTTGATGTTTGCCCTACGAAATGAACTTAGTTATTGAAAAGATAATGTGAGATAGTCTAGTGGGTAGAGATTGTTGTGATGGAGGAAGATGATGAGTAGGGCATGTTGGCTATATGCATAAGGTGCGCGTTTTGGCTTAATATATTAGTACAGATGACGTTATTGACGTGCGACTTAACCTAGTGTCCGCATTACATTAGCTTCACCATTCTCGTCTTTTGTAAACTTTTCAACTGATATCGTGATTTGCCCATCGAAATATTTCACGTAACTAAAATCATAGGAATGGGGACTTGGGAAAAATGAGAAGAATGTCATCGGCAATTAGAAAGCTAGGAGAGAAGCTTGCTGGAGCTTCTAATACAAGTCAGAGGGAAAGAAGATCAGAAATAAGGAGAAGGTCTCTGTCTCTAAATTAGACTTAAAAAATTATTGATCGTCGCGCTTTTGTGCATTTTGATCACATGATTTAGAAAAAGCTCACTCTATTTTCACACTCTAAATGGCTATAATACACCTTATCTTATTGGGTTGACGAAAATAACCTTAAAAGAACTGATTGATCAAAGTTATTGGGTGGAATGGTGAAAGTTGTTATTTATTGAAAATACAAAAGTCGCATATTATTATAACTATACAAGATTGTCCGTATCAGTCAAAATTGTTGTTTTACTCCACCGTCTTCTGTTTTATTTATTTTCGTTTTTAGACAAACTTCATTTCCTCCCTTATACTTACTAACATGCTTAAGCTAAACTTTATCAGTATTCTTTGTTAATTAACATATCTCAAATCCAAATTGTAATCATATAGAGTTCACAACTTGAACCAAAGAATTTTATTCAAAAAAGAATTTGAATCACATAATTGTATGTAACAACCGAGTTGCTAGAGATTGAATTTTGGAGAGACATTATAAATAAATGTTCTAGACATCATCGATTTCTTAATATTCTTTTCAAATAGAATTCCGTGTAAGAGATTTTTTTTATATGGGCTACATTAGTTAAGATTGTAATTTATTGTTTTACGGGATTAGTTGGGATCAATCTAATAAGGTAAGATGTAAATATTCTTAAATAGTCTAATACGGGACTGGTTAGTGTGAGCCAAGTAAGGCCCGACCCGTGATGAGAGAGTCTGGCTTAAAACTCTATAAATATTGCTCAAGTCCCTCATCTAAACACAACACACAAATTATCTCACATAAGAAGCAAACGCTAACTGTGAAAGGCAAACTTATTGAGCCGGTGGATCGTCACTATTCCGCATACAAAAAGATGGATTCCAAATCAGGTGAGCAAATCTATTTTACTTTATATGTTTTATAAATTCTAGCTATGAAGATTTTGGAGTGCCGTATTCGCGGTCATAATTCCAATCATAAAGTATAGTAAAATATTCGAATCTTAGAGGATACTAATAAAAGAAAGTAAAGAATCTGTAAACTTCTCCGATTTAAACACAAAAGAAGAAGATATAATTAAGGAAATGTGGATAAAAATCATGAAATTGATTGATCCACGTTAAAAGTACGTTTTTCCCCTTTCATCAATCTTAACAGTAATGAGTTCTCGTTGAGGGCTATTTTGGACAATTTGAGTTTTAAGGTGTGTCTAAAGTTATTTGTGTAGTGCAAATAGCGTGAGCATTTAGAAAATTAGTTAATTTTTTGGGTTAATATCACGAAAAACTCCAAACCGATACACTTGTGACAAATTTATCCAAAACTAATTTTTTAACCACAAAAAATCACAAACTGGTACACCTGTGATAATTTTACTCTCTGTCAGTTTTCATTAAATTTTTATCGTCAAATTTCTAAGTTGAATGACACGTGGCAGCTAATGGGTGTACCAGTTTGGGGTTTTACTCTCCGTTTATAACAGGTGTACCGGTTTATGATTTTTTGTGGTATTAATCCAATTTAACGGAGGGTAAATTTCTCACAAATATACCAATTTGAGATTTTTTGTGGTAAAAAAATTAGTTTAAGGTAAATTTATTACAGGTGTACCGGTTTGAAATTTTTCGTGGTATTAACCCTAATTTTTTACATTTTACACACGTGGAGTTCAAGAGGTCAATTATTTTGGAAAAGGTAGTTAGAGGTTAATGTTAAGTTTGAGGGGTGGCCATTTTATTCAAGAGATCATCCTCAATATAAGGTAACTATCAAGACGTGGAGGAATTGACATATCAACCTTCAAATCTCGTCGTTTCTCGAATTATTTCACATTCTCTTGTACGCATACACTAGGGAAGAAGATGAAGGGGAGATAAAAAGGAAAAAACCACCAAAAATTCTAAATTATGCCACTTGTGATAAATTTTTCTTGAACTTTTTTTTGTGACATGAAAAACCTCAAACTATGCCATCTGTGATAAATTTACCCTGAACTTCTTTTTGTGATACAAAAAACCCTAAACTATGCCACCTGTGACACATTTACCCCACATACTTTGCCCCATGGGCATTTTCGTCTTTTTTCTTTTTCTATTTTTTTTCCTTTTTTTTCTTTTCTTCTCGGGCGAGGGCAGCCCTCGCCCGACTCAGGCGATGGCTGCCCTTGCCGGAGAAGAAAAGAAAAAAAGAAAAAGGAAAAAGACAAAAATGCTTATGGGTCAAAGTATTGTAGGGTAAATGTGTCACAAGTGGTATAGTTTGAGGTTTTTCGTGTAAAAAAAAAAAGTTCAGGGTAAATTTGTCACAAATGACATAGTTTGAGGTTTTTCGTGTCACAAAAAAAATTCAGGGTAAATTTGTCACAAGTGGCATAGTTTGGGGTTTTTGGTGGTATTTTCCCGAGATAAAACTCACTTTTGACTGAATAATATAGAAGACAGATATGGTTTTTTGTCACCTGAAAAAATAAACTAAAACATCAGAATTTTTGTGAAAAAGAAGATTGAATGGCGTCAATTGCTCCTATTCATATTCTCTACATTAGTTACAGGCTTGAGGTGAATGTAATTGTAGTAAACCTGTACGGACACTTATCGGCAAAAAAGTCATAGTAAAAGCAAAGAAGGATAAAAGAAAGGTAGAGTCACCAAAAATTGAAAGAGATAATTACATAAATGGTCCTTGTATTTCGCCCAATGTGTATTCTCGTTCATGAACTTCAATCTTGTTTAATGTGATCCCTAAAGTTTTGCTCAATGTACAATGTGGTCTCTAAATTTTTAATTTGTTTAATTTATCTCATTCAAGTTCAGAGACAAACATTGAATATTTTCATATACTTTAGGGACCATATTGAACATATACCAAAAGTTCATAATCACATTGAACAAATTAAAAGTTAGGGGACAACATTACACGTTGAGCTAAAGTTAAATGATAATTTGTATCATTTTCCCAAATTGGATTTGGTCATGAAAGAATAGCAAGTGAACCCTCATTCCAAATCAATCATAATCACCACATTGAAAACATGGCACAATCAAGCAAGTATTCATCTTTCTAGCTCAAAGCTTGGATTCAAATTACCATGTTACTGCCTTGTTTTAGGACATTTCCTGTGAGCACAAACCATATTTGTGTGTTTCCGATAATTATCTTACGCGATGAATCGGGAGGCCACTACACTCATTGGGAATTAATTACGTGATCAAAGAGTGACAACACTCTATTATTAGCAAAAAAAATATAAGCGTTTGATAATTTTTATTATTAAACTTTTGAGTGCACCATGAGTAATTATAATCTTCAAGGCGTTCAAATGTATTCTTATTACAATCAGCCAATTAGTTGCCCTAGTATTGACTCCAATACTTTTGGTTGAAAGAAAAATTTTATTCATTGTTCAAAAGCATAAATGAGAAGTACATAGACTTTTATAACAAGGCAAATCGAAGAAGAGCAAAGCAGAATACAACAAAACAAATCCAAATCTGGAAAACAAGGAGGATTAACATAGCACCAACAGAGTTAAGCACACACTTGTTCCATAAAACCGGATCTGTCAAGTAAAATAATTGGCGGTCGATCACTGGATCTCGTACTATCATTAGTGATGAGCACACGCTGGAAATTCTTTCTCTAATAACTATGGCGGTGCCTGCTTAGATTCGGCTTCCTTTATACTATCATCGTACGAAGACAACCAAAACGGGTTGAAAAAACACATATCTAACTTTTGGAAAAGCAAATCTTCGTAGTTCAGCGAGACCCCATAACTCCTACAATCATCATTCAAACCGGAGGTAAAGCATCTGTACATAGACATAGCACGAGGGTTTCGAATCCCAAAAAACATTATTAAACTCCTATATCTAAATGGGGAGAGAAAAACTTCTAGATCCAAAACTAAATCAAGAGAATTTAAACTTTCAGATCTAGAATTAGACTGAGAGAACAGAGCTTCTAGATATCGGGAGAGGAAAAAAACACATGAAAAGAAAAAAAAACTCCAACAAAATCAATGGTAGGGAAGGGTGAGACTAGCTTAAACCTTCCACCATTGCTGAAGCTTGAAGAAGACAATGGAGAGATAAGAGAAAGGGAGAGAAACAATTTAATCAGCGAGAAAGGTCTCTAACTAATGAATGAAGTAATTGTATTCATGCATGCATAAAGAGGTATAACTTGAGATTAGAGACGAAGAGAAAGAAACAAGTGAATTGGTGTTAAATTATCTCTTAACCTCTATATTGAGTGCTGGAAAACCCTAATAGATTTCATTTTATGGAATTATATTATCAATATTAACAAGCAAAAATCACTACTTGATAAGCTTGCGAGTCGAGGTAGGCTAAAGTGGTGTTCTTTGCGATCTACATTGCGGATGATAGGGATCATCTCTTCTTTAAATGCAACTTCCCCTTCCTTGCTGTCCAAACTCTTTTGGTGTGCTACGCACATCGCCAATGCCAGTTATCAGATAAATATTGGGTAATAAAGTCCAGACTATATTGAGAATGGTGGTAAGTCTACCAAAGCAAAAAATCCAAATCGGTTCATGAGTAGCTTTCTGAAATAGCCTGGTAGTTATGTCCAAAAAAAAAAAATGAAATAGCCTGGTAGTATTCGACCAAAAAAAAAAAAGAAATAGCCTGTGTCCCGAATTGTCAACGTCCCATTGGCTAGCTGCGCACGTCATGGTACGATGATGTCGACAATTCCCATATTTATCGTACGACCTTTTTCCCCTTTTTTTCACCCCCCCCCCCCCCGGGTTTTCGTTTCTTGGTGCTCTCTCTTTCGCAGGTCCCCAAGGCCACAGCTGAAGCTGAAAACCACTGCAAATATAGATTTTTCTTTTCGAAAAAGGGAAAAAATCTCCTCTCTCTCTCTCTCTCTCTCTCTCTCTCTCTCTCTATCAAAACAAGATAACTCAGATAACACATCTGCGTCTTTGAATCTTCTTTACCAAATTAACCATGCCGTTTCGGTCGAACTCGGATGCTTTGCTTTCCTCCTCGTTTCTTTCCTTTTTTGTTTGTATTTCCTCTTTATGGGTAATAAAAGGCCTTTTTCTCTTTTCCTTTTATGTTTGTGGCCGCAAAATAAAGAGAGAGATCTATCAACTGCCAATAGATCCTTTGCGTTCATTTTATTTTTTTCCGGTTTTTGTCTTTGCCCTCTCATCCCCGTCTCTAGGGTTTCTGAATTCATGGTCATCTTTGTGACATAGAGAAGAGAAGCTCCTCCCTCTAATATGCTGTGCAGATCTTTGATGCTCCGACCATTGATTTTGTGAAATCTTTGTCCTGTGGTTTTTGCTTGGGTTCGAATGGTATGTTCGTCCATTTCTGTGTGGAAAGAAAGTGTGATTAATTTTGCAGGGTTTTTTAGCTTCTCCAGTGCTTCAGTCTAAAGTCTTCAGAATCGGAGGAGGAAGAAAAGATAAGTATTCAGCTGGTTGAAGCTGCACAAAGTACTTGGTGAGTCTTCGTTTTTTAACGTTGTGCTATATTTGTTAAGTATATCCCTATTCCTGAGTACTTGTCACTCTAGGGTTGATAATCATAACGTCTGTGGGGAGAATTTGATCATGGCGAGAGGCAAAATTCAGATGAGGCGAATTGAGAACCCGACGAGCCGGCAAGTCACCTTCTCGAAGCGCCGGAGCGGGCTGCTGAAGAAAGCTCGCGAGCTCTCGGTCCTCTGCGAGGCCGAAGTCGCCGTGATCATCTTTTCCCAGAAAGGAAGGCCTTACGAGTTCGCGAGCAATTCCGAGTAATGTTCCTCTACTGATTTTTCGATTTCTCGAGTTGATTTTAGATGGGGAAGCATGATTGAGCCATTTTAACATTCTTGTTTCCAAGATAAGGGCATGTGCACACATACGCTGTGTTTGTAAATTGTGAGGGACAGCATCATGGGATGGATTTTTTCTTATTCTCGTTTTCTTTTGTATCGTTTTTTGTTTTGATCAAATGTTTAGTGCTTCTCCCCTTCGATCATGGACTGAACCCACCATGATGACCAATCTAGATTCTCATTTTCGGACAATTTTTAAAAACAATATGACTTTTGTTCAGATATCCTAGTCGAAAGTAGCTGAGAAAATGAAGTATAAAACTATAAAATCTTCTTTTTCGCTTTTTCCTGGATAGTCAATGCACTGAGGTGTACCCTAATCAAAGGCTAGATCCGGGGGATTTGATGATCAAAGGCATTCATTGTGTACGCTGTTGCGTTGGAGTTGGACTCTCTTTCTTAATGGTTCTTCTGAGGAAACAAATTGTTGAATATCTTGCTAGTACTGATCTCCTCCAGCCACTTCACATGTTAGGATGATTAGTACTTTGTCTTGGGAAATGAATCATATATTGATGTTAGTGGAACTAGGGACTGGTATTGTTGGGTCCTTCTGGTTTTGACAAGTTATAATTTAGCCTTCACCCCAATTCCACATTGATATCAAATGAACATGCCGACTAGTGTCAAAGTTTTATAGTTTATAAGGCTGCTTAAGTATTGCATCTAGTAATCTGCTATCTAGGGATTGATCTCCATTAAGTAATGCTTGGGGCTGATGGTAGTAAGCGTATTCACGGTTAGGTATTATTCTATTCAAAGTAGATTGGTTGGAAAAATGTTGAAGGAAACCAAACTTAAATTGATAAGGGGGAAGCCTTCAAACGATACCTTGTTTGATTCAGTTTGTTCTAATTACACCACGTAGACATGGATTAAAACTATGGTATGTACCCTATCTGATAATGGTTATCTCACAAATCATAAAAATTGGTGTTTCAAGTCTTTGAGCATTCCACGATGCAAAAGCTCGAAATTCATATGAAACATATTATATTAGTCGGAAAATCGAATAATTTGTTATCTATCTACCGCCATATATATGAAGCATTTCGAATTAAACAAAAAGCATTTGTTGGTTTATCCGCTTGGTCATGGTTCATTGAAATCGAAACTTAAAGCATATGTACTTATGCGATTAATTTATCTCTTTCCCAAATCAAACCAATCCGGCAAAAGTTGTTCAAGTTGATTTTTCAATGGTACTTTAACCCTAAACAAAAGCCTGTAAAAACCAGTAATAGATATCTTCAACTTTATGTACTTTTGGTTATATGGTGCTTTGAAGGGTGAATAAAATTATGGGCTTGACTACATTTGTGTACTGATGATGTTAAGGGATCGAGTGCATTCTCTAATATAAAAGACTAAGGCAAACATGACACAACACACTGATCTCTTGGAGTTCTAATTCATAGGGCATTTATGTTAAAAAAAAAGTGACTGCAATCGTACATGTTTGCCATTTTAGTTGCTCCATTATATAAGTACTCACTGTTCTTCATTTACCGGGTAAAAATAAGTACTTGAGAAATCACAAGTTAATGAAGATGCAACTGCTTGCTCTTATAATTTCTCCGAGAAGTGGTAAGCCCTTGTACTGCTTCACATTGTAACTGATGATTTTACATGCATCATGTGCTGTTCTTACTTCTTAATGACATGGGGTGGCATGTAGAATTCTGAAGACTTTGGGCTTGAGCAAAAAACATTGCATTAATTCACTCTGCGATTACGTTCAAATATACTTCGCCTGCGCACATGATATACTTTTATAATATCAATTTGAATGTTTTCACGCTAAAATTTGAAGAAAAATATTGCTGGCATGATTATTTACAAAGTATAAGGTGGGCATCCAAGACTTTACAAGTACTTCATATCGTTGCATATAAGTTGCTTAGAGGCTAAAAGCTTCTTGCAGTGGCTTGTACCTATTGCATATTCTGTTGGTGAGTAATAGTGATACATATTCACTGGAAGTCATGCATGGTTCACAAAAATGATCATTAATTTGTTTAATGTTCGCTTACTTTAGTTTTGATGATACTTGATTAATTTGGAGAATGCATTCCCAGTGCCTGAGCTCATATACTGTCTTTGCAATTTTTCAGAATCCAAAAGATAATTGATCGATATTGTAGATCTGTAAATGATGTGGATTCATACAAGGCTAATATGGAACAATATATTCTGGTCAGTGCTCTAACCTTTCCATGATGCTACATTGGGTGCACTCGTAAGGAGTTCAGTGAGATTCTCAGTATAATTAAACAAGTTGCCAAGTTTGTTAGGCATAAGAAGTCAAAAATGTCCGACTAGTAATATTTTGACTTTTTATGCACATTTCTTAAAGGTTAACCAAGTCGAGCAGTTCGATTTTTATTCATTTTGCTGTATAAAAGAAAGCAACTTCATGCTTTTTTGGTGTGGATTAACATATAAACATCACATACAAAACATTTTTCTGGATAGAACTTACAAAAAAGTCAAACATACGAACACAAATGGCAAGAAATCTATTTCCCCAACAATCTCATAATATAGACTCATATATACATAAATAGTCGTCTTGTATGCAAAGAATCACGCTTGCATCTAACTGTGTACACGAATTAAACGGATCACTAGAACCATAAAGTAGGGATCATACTAATGATGATGATATAGTTGTAAAATGAGGGATAGAGTCAAGTAAAATTCAATTTCTGAATAAATCTTTAAAATAGTAAGTTTTCTCTTAATGAAGAGAGATATATATCCAAGATAAGTTGCGGATAAACTTATTTTGTCCCAAATCAATTATTTCATTTCCGTTTGATCAATTCAAGTGAAACCATAAAATGAAGAAATAAGCACCTTCATGAGAGCGATAGCTACTGTCTTCACATACTGACTTACCAGTCAAATGCTAAATCTAGAACCATACCAGGTTCAATAAAACTATGTTGATGAAAGGTTATGCATCATTTTTTCTCATTCTTCATGTTTAAAAAAATTATATCTCTTTAATTTATAATATCTCTAATTCACAAATAGCAACTTGCAAGGTACTAGTTTACAACCTTTGTTCTGCTAAACGTCTAAATAGATGCAAAAAAAATTCGGATCATGAACCTTCGTATTTAGGGCAGATCAAAGACTCTCTCTCTCTCTTTGAATATCTTTTAAACTTCACTTTCATAATTCTCTTGTTTGATGAAGATGCTTCTTTGTGTGGTTTATTTGCATTGCAAGAGATGAAAAGACATGATCTCAATTCTCAATGTGTTACTGCAGACATTTGAAAATTTGATCTCAATATGATCTTTTAGGTTATTTAAGTTGTGGATTTTCACAACATCCATCTTCACCAAAGCTTGGTAAAAACATCAATATTTCAAATATCAACATAGTAAATCCTTTTGTCTGCATCAATAGTATATCTCTATTGATGGAAACACTCACATGGAAGGCACATTCATGGATAGTGGATACATCTTTTGGCGAAGTTATAGCAAAACACGTTGCAGTTAGAAAAGTTTAACTTTCACAATGTTAAATATACATATACATGATACTTGTGCTTTGGCACATGAGAGATGCTTCATGGTTCTTAAGCATGAGGAATGCTAGGGATACTTTCTAAACTTGTTGACTAAGTGATCTGGCACTCTATAAGTGTTAATTCATTGTAAGAGATGAAAAGATATGGCCTCAATTCTCAATGTGTCATTTCAAACTTCTGAATCGATTTCTGTTTTGAGTTTGTTGTAATGATTTCTACTATATTGAGGATTAATCATTAACTATAGCCACTAATAAAGGCAACAAGATCAAACAGGCCACTGTTTTTACAAGGCTTTGATGAGGATGGACGTTAGGGGCTTGTGACAACTAGGATTTGGATTCTTCTTTTAGTTGAATTTATGGTAGTCTTCTCAATTAGGATTTGGGTACCGTCGGGATTTTATTAAATTTTCTACTTTTGTCACAAGTGCGATATTAAGTTTCTTGTGTAGATGAATTCTATTTCAATTCTATTTCTTGTTTGGAGTCTTCCTATCTGAATTAGGAGTATGATCAATCCTAGAGGGGTTCGTATGGATGATTGTAACTCTTTCTTGTGTTATGGAATGGTTCTCTGAAGTGTGAAACTTATGAACGTTCACAGTGTTAAATATACATAGGATACATGTGCTTTGGTACATGAGAGATGCTTCATGGTTTATAAGCATGAGGAAAACTTGGGATACTTTCTGCATTGGTTTACTAAGCAATGTTGCATTGCATAAGTGTTATTTAAGTTAGTAAACTCATTTAAGTACCTATCAGGACTCTACCTCACTTAGTAAACAAATTTAGGAGACAAGTCTTAATTTGTCTAGAATTATTCTTGAAGTATGCATATCTTTGTGAACCCAATTCTAGAAAACTCATCCAAATTTTATTTTTTACAGCAAAAGTCAAGTTTCTCATAAAAATGTGAGTCTAGTACAGGAGGGAATAATTTGAGAGAGCCATCAAAGCTCTGCTATCAAAGTGCTGTTATAGTTAGATAAAGGACTTGTACTATAATTACAAGCCACAACACTCTTATATTCATGTGGTTTGGTAATGACTAGGAAGAAGAGAGGAGAAACTGCTGATATATATAGAGTGACAAATAGGTTTCAAGTGAATTAAATCCTTAAAAATGCTATTTTGATCTTTGTACATGTCCTCAGGACATTAACTGGTCCTCTAAAATGCTTCAGCTTCTGAAATTCTACTCATCATCCACCACTTGATACCTCGACTACAAGCCCTCCATGGGCCTTACTCTTATTGTTTTCTGAAGGAAGTTTTAAAAGTTACTGTTGTTGTCTCTCTCTCTCTCTCTCTATATATATATATATATAATATATATATGTATATGTATATGTATTTGCAGATTGTAATAATATGAAACCGTGTTCTTGATAAGAACCCTCTTCTTGATCCCAAGAATTACTGAGGTGGTGGGCCATATTAATTGACTGTGGTTTACATTGTCCAGCTACAAATTTTGCAAGAACATTAGGGTTCTTGCAGTGGCAATCTTAGTTTTGCAGGATCCTGTGGTGTTACAGATTTGTTCACTATGATTGGTTTTATCCATTGCATGATTTCACATATGTTCAATTTGTATTGCTCTGTTCACTGGATTCATAAATATCACAATCTCCATAAATGCGCAGCATTTGAAGCAAGAAACCATGGATATGGAGAGGAAGATTGAGCTTCTTGAAGTTTCTCTACGGTCCGCAAATTTTGAGACTTCTCTCTTATAAATTACGGATTGAAATGGCTTCCTGATATCTAATTCCCTAAACTATGGTACTCCTTTTCTTTTTCTCATCAGGAAGTTATCAGGACAATGTCTTGCATCTTGTTCGATCGACGAAATCCAAATGATAGGGGATCAGCTCGAGCGAAGTTTGAGCAGCGTTAGGGCAAGAAAGGTACATGCCTCTTTGGCATATTTGTCCTTTTCTCTATGCCTAAAGATGTTTTGAGAACTTTTCATCAAGTAGCCGCTGTGTTTGGAGGCATGGAGATGGTGAGAAGTGAAAGAAAACTAAGAGAAACAATTTCCCACGAACGACTAACAAGACTGACCTAATAAATACAGGAACCGAAACACCAATTTCAATAGAGACTGCAGTTGCATTGTAAGATTGAAAATGAATAGACTAAACATGTCAAACTTGGCGTGTGAAAGAAGAGATTCAATTTTTCTTCATTGTTATTGACCTGTCCTCTTTTTCCAATAAACAGGGAAAAGATCATGGTTATTTTTTATCATCATTTTCCCCTGAGTTATTTGAAAGACTCTTTTTCCAATAAAAGTTGGTAAAACTAAAAAAAGAAGCTTAAACGTTGGTAAGTAAGTCAAATGAAAATTGATAATCCAAAACTAGTTGGTAGTTTAAATTGACAAAAGTTAATAAGTCACTATGATTTAGATTGTAATTTCAAATAAACTCAAAGTGTTAATAAGTTATGAAAATAAAAGTTGGTAGTTTGTAACCTATGAAAAAATATGTAACTTCATAAAAGTGTCTGTGATTTATCAATATATTGCATGGAAAAAAAGTCATCGGTTATATTTTACCAATAGTTTCTTGATGCTTATTAACCCTAAATCAAACTTACCAACACAAATAAAAAATCCGTGTTCTTTGCCATGGAACAATAGAATTCTTTGAGTTATTTTAGTTTATTAACCTGATTAATTTCTGTCTAAATTGCTCCCTTGAACTGTGTTTCTTGGCAAGTTGCAAAGCATTGTCCTTTCATTTCTAGCGATCATCATCTGAACTTATTTTCTCATTTTTTTCCTTTTACTAAGAAAGGTATGTGGACAACGTGCACACACAAGAAAGTTAAAATGTCTGTATGGATTCTTTTACAGGCTCAATTATTCAACGATCAAATACAGCAGTTACAAGCAAAGGTAAATGGAGGAATAAGATGAATGCATTTCTGATCTCATCAGGCATTGTTAAATTCCTGGTTTTATTAATCTAGCAACTTTGTTTGGTGTAATTCAGGAGAGGTCTCTGAAAGAAGAGAATGCAAAGCTTATTGCAAAGGTGAACCCTCTTTCTCATCTATGCTTTTATTGCCTACCTAGTACTTGCCATACATCATCACTCTTCTGTGCATAAATTAACCACTTTCCACAAACTTGTGAAACCTACAATAGAATCTCTCAATGAATTTCATGTATGATCTAGCAGCGTAGTTTTATGATCTGCTAGGACCAGAGAGGTCTTCAATGATTAAGAATGTCTTTTGCTCTTATGTTTTAATAGGCTTGTGTAGTGAAGAAGCTTGTTGCTTTTGTCCATCCACCAATATTAGTTGATTATGTGCTGCACAGTATAATGTACTGGTTAAATGTGGTGGTCATCAGTTTGTCTTGCTCTCTATACTCCTGGTGGTAAAACCGATAAAGGGTCTTGCGACATGATCGGTTTTTATGAGAAGGACAACGCAAAATTTCAGGGTGTTGTATCGGTTTTATTTTAAGCCTTTCTTTATATGAGAAGTTTTGATTTTTGATAGCATAATTTAGAATGAGCAGACGTTGAACATCACCAAAGAATTCTATGATCTTGCGACTGTTTGATCTGCTTGCAAAGTTACCACTAGCTCTAAGCACTAATCAATGCTAAGAAAATTACCACCACATTGACGAATTTACTGTCACGAGATACAATTCTACTTTTCTTTTTTACAGGGAACTGTAGACAAACTCAAATCTCTGGGTGTTCTACTATGGTCACATAATTATTTATTTTTTGGGTTGGACTATGGTCCCGTACTTGATCTGTTAAGAAAGTGATCGACTCCATAATAGAAGTTGCTAATGCAAATTTACTAACTCATGTTGAGAAAATTACTGTTGAGGAAATTACGATCATGAGATACAATTATGTGTATGGTACTGTAAGAATGTAGATGGACCCAAATCTATGTCTTTCTGTGATCCCATGACCATTACTTGATATGCTTGGAAAGTTACTGACTCGAGAAAAAAAGGTTACTAGCACTAAGTTAGTAGCCCGCATTGTGAAATACCACTATGTTGATAATCTTGTTTTCACGGAAGAATATATTATATTTCCAACTAGGGACTATAGACGGATCCAAAGTACTTAGTGATCACACTTGGCGTACCTAATCACTTTTTGAGCTTTTTAGTTTTTTTTTTCATCCTTCATCTTTTTTGAGAACAGAAGAGAGAACCACTTCTGAAGTTAGCTGTTGGGAATATTGAATTTTTCCTAGTGAAAATATCAGAAAGTTAGTAATTACCAATATGGTAATAAAAATCAGTAGCACAATGTTGCTGAGTAATCAATGTTGAGAAAACTACTATCCAACTTACTATCATTGGGTACAATTCTATGCTTCTAACATGGAATTGGAGGACTGAAAGTTCCTGTCTTTCTCTGATTTTGTAACTATTAGTTGATCTGTTTAGAAATACTAACTCGATAACAAAAACTACTAGCCTTGAAATACCAACCCATGGTGACAAAATTACAACAACATAGAGGATATTACTATCATGAGATACTAGTCTGTACTCTAAACATGGACTATAGGTGGAACCAAAGTTTGTAGTCATGTCTGTTGTAGCTAACCACTTTTTTTGTTTTTTTTTCCGGCAACCTAGGAGAATCTCTTCTAGAGTCAGATGTTGGGAATTGAAATTTCCCAGTGACTATTGATAGATCTGGGTGCATAGACCGATGCTTGCATCATCTAATTTAGATCCAGTGAAAGGCTTGTTCAATGCCTGTAAATCTCACATTGAGTTTCAGCTTTTTCCCATTTTAATTCAGTGAAGGTTTCTAGGTCCCTCATCATCATTCAATTGCATTTTTTATTTCTTTTATCTAACAGAGCGTTTTGCGTCTTTATTTTTCTTTCTTCCAATTTCAGTGCCATGCAAATCGTTGGGAGTCAACAGCTCATTCGAGAGCAGCAGCAATACATAGCCAGAGCTGCCGGAGTACACATGTTGAGACCAGGTTGTCCATCGGATTGCCGGAGAGTTGAACTGATTTGCCATCACCCGACACAAGTTTAATAATTCCTGTATAGAATGTAATGAGAATCACTGCAATATCACTTAGTGATATCTTTATTCAGCACTTTCACGACAACATAGACACGGGATTCATGGCAGTCATTTCAAAAATCTGAGAGTTAGAATAGCGAATGCAAAGAAAGATCGGTTCAGAAATGAGCAATTAACAGGATCAATACGAGGAAGATCAGTGAAACAAAAGAAATAACTTGCCTGCACCTTGGGCTTCCCATTTGAGTCACACAACAGTTGATTCCAAGAAAGAAACTTCTCTTTTGAGCATATAATCTCAAACGGCTTGATTGCATTTCAACTTAACTGGTCACCTCTTAGAGGTTGGCTAAGCCAAAAAATGTTCATCCGATCACATAATAATTTTCTTCAGCGTAGATACATGCAGACATAAGGGTCATGGGCATCTGAACTACTCTGGAGTCAAAATTGTCATGTTGCAACGTAAGGCTATTCAGTTGACTTGCGATGCATCCCAAACAACGAGGTCCAACTTTTTTCAACATGTGAACTCATGAGTCGTGACATGTTTCCTATGCGATGCCTTAATTGGAAGGGATTGGCGGGACAGACAATGAAGGATTCTAAGGGCCCGTTTGGTAACGTGCCAAATAGTGAAAATTTCTGTTCTTTTGTTCCCAGAAATAGTTTGGGAACAGAAATGCGTTTGGTAAAATTTTTTGTTCCTCGGCACATTTTTGCAAAAATTTGTGCCGAGAAACGGTTTTGGAAGAGAAACAAGAAGTAAAAAAAAGTTGCTTCTTGTTTCTCGGCACAATTTTGAGAATCAGTTTTTTTTCTTCTTTTACTTTTTTTCTTTTCTTATTTTGTGGTGTTGTTCTTAGTCGAGCCGCCGCGGCGACCGGCACCGGCCGACCTAGGGTCGGCGAGGCGCCACGCGCTCTAGGGCCGCGGCGGCGGGCGACGTCGCCCTCGCCGGCGGAGGCGAGGGTCGACCCTCGCCGCTGGGCGAGGCGGCCTCGCCCAGATCGAGCAAGGCCGAGCCTCGCCGTCGGTCGCGACGGCGAGCAAGGCCTCGCCAAGAGACGGCGAGGCTCGGCCTCGCCCAAATCGGCGAGGCCGAGCCTCGCCGTCGCGACCCACGGCGCGGCGAGGTCGGCCCGCCGTGGGTCGCGACGGCGAGGCTCGGCCTCGCCGGATCGGGCGAGGCGAGCCTCGCCGTCTCGGGCGAGGCCGCCTCGCCCGGCGGCGAGGTCCGCCTCGCCTCGCTCCGCCGGCGGCCGGCGAGGTTCGTGACGCCTCGCCGGCCACAGGCGTGGTGGTCGCGCGACGGCCATGGCCAAAGAAGAAAGTAAAAAGAAAAAAAAATTTAAACAATTCAAAATATTATTAAAATATTATTTGGGAACGAAATTTTGTGTAGTTACCAAACGCATTTGTTCTTTTCTACTCTAGGAATAGAAATTTTGGACATTTATCAAACGCCTTCAAATACTCAGAAATTGTTTCCGGGCACAGAATAAAAAAAAATCATTTCTGTTCAGAAATAGCGCCCGGGCACAGAATGGTATTCATGCGCACCCTAAGTGACACATGAGATGACTAAGATGTACAGTGCACCCTGCTTAGCAATTAATAGGAAGATAGATTTGACCAAAAAAACTTACTAAGAAGATATACAAATAAACAAGAAAAAAAGAAATAAAATCTGTTAATGATAAAAGAGTAACTTGTTTATTTCAGAGATAACAAAGAGTATTTATAGGCTTAGGATTAAGCCTAATACATTTACACAAATATCCCCAACTTGCTAATACTCTAAAGTAATAAACCCAACACTCCCCCTCAAGTTGGAGCGTACATATCAAAAAGTCCTAACTTATGACAAATATATGAAACTCGTCCACGTCAAAGAGGCTTTGTGAAAATGTCTGCTAGTTGCTCTTCAGAACGTGTGTGTACCAACCGTATGTCTTCGCAGTTCACCTTTTCTCGAACAAAATAACAATCCACCTCTATATGCTTCGTTCGCTCATGAAACACTGGATTGCTAGCAATATGAATAGCAAATTGATTATCACAGCACAGAATAGATGATCCGGTCATAGGTAGTCCAACCTCAGCTAACAACATACGAACCCATTGAAGTTCACTGGTAACATTAGCCATAGCATGATACTCGGCCTCTGCACCAGATCGGGAAATAACAGACTGTTTCGTACTTTTCCACAACACAAGATTACCACCAAGAAATACACAGTATCCCGAAGTAGACCGGCGATCCATAGGGCAACCAGCCCAATTTGCATCAGAATATCCTGTCACCTCCAAAGATTCAGGGTTGGAATAACCAGCTATACGAAGATGACCTTGATTATGGAACACAAGTCCTTGACTTGGTGCTCTCTTCAAATATCGAACAATTTGTAGAGCAGCTTGCTAATGATTAGTACGAGGAGAGCTCATAAACTGACTCACCATACTAACAGCAAATGAAATATTCGGACGGGTAATGGTAAGATAATTTAACTTGCCTACTAACCGACGATACTTCTCTGGATCATGAAGAAGTTCTCCCTGTTCATTGTCAAGCCTCACTCCAGGATCCATAGGTGTGTCACTAGGTTTAGAATCATGTAAGCCAACCTCCTTAAGAATGTCAAGAGCATACTTTCACTGGGAGAGAGCAATGCTACCATTGGCATAGGCAACTTCAATGCCAAGAAAATATCGCAGACGACCTAAGTCTTTAGTGTTAAACTCCTTTTGAAGAAACTGCTTAAGTCGTCGTATGCCTTCAACATCGCTGCCTATGACAATGATATCATCAACGTAAACAACAAGAATAACACATCCTTTTGAAGATGCATACTAAATACTGAGTGATCCACACTACACTGATGCATGCCAAAAGTAATAACCGCATCACTGAACCGGCCAAACCAAGCACGAGGAGATTGCTTAAGCCCATAAAGAGCTTTTCGCAATCGGCACACCTTCTCCCCCCAAGCAACAAACCAAGGTGGTTGCTCCATATATACTTCCTCGTGAAGATCACCATGAAGGAAGGCATTTTTTACATCAAGCTGATGAAGAGTCCACTGAGACCGAGCAGCCAAGGAAATAATGATACGAACAGAAGGAATTTTGGCTACCGGAGAAAAAGTTTCATCATAGTCAATACCATAAGTTTGAGTATAGCCCTTGGCCACAAGACGCGCCTTTAAGCGCTCAACTGTACCATCTGGATGGTGTTTAACAACAAAGACCCAGCGACAACCTACCAATTGTTTATGAGCCGGCAAGGAACGAGCTCCCAAGTCTTATTATGATGTAAAGTAGCCATCTCGTCCTCCATAGCACTAGCCCACCCTGGATGGGCCAAAGCCTCCTAGACATTACTAGGCACAGACACAGAAGCAAGAGATGACACAAAGGCAGACATCTGAGGGCTTAAGTTATGATAAGACACAAAATTAGAAAGAGGATACCGAGATCGAGTACGGTGAGCAATAGGAGAACTGTCAGGAGACGGTGGAAGAGGATCGGAAGCCTGGACCGAAGTTGGTGGTGGTGGTGGAATACTTGCTGGTGAAGATGTATTACCCCAAATAGAACGAGGACCACGTGTATAGACCTGAAGAGGGTTCGGTGCTGGTGAGCCTGGATCCGGTGGAGCAACACCAAAAGTAACAAACGGTGGCTCCGGCTGAGATGTAGGTGCAGAGGGTGGCAGAAGGTCCAGGGTTAATGGTGCTTGAGGACGATCATCGCCAAAGAATGCTTTATCCTCAAAGAAAGTCACATTAGCAGAAACATACTCCCGACGACGAGTAGGATTATAACAAACATATCCCTTTTGAGTACGGGAGTAACCAACGAATATACATTTTTCAGCACGAGGTGATAATTTGTCTAATCCAGGAGACAAAGAATGAACAAAACAGACACATCCAAAGATACGAGGGCGAACAGACCATAAAGGACGATCAGGATGAAGAAGAGCATAATGAATAGCTCCTTTCAGCACGGAGGACGGAAGACGATTAATAAGATGATACGCTGTAAGTAGAGCATAGCTCCAGAATGATTAGGTATATGAGTGTGAAGAAGAAGACAACGAGCAACGTCCAACAAATGACGGTTCTTACGTTCAGCAACTCCATTTTGTTGCGGAGTGTGAGCGCAAGAACTCTGATGTAAAATACCATGAGATTTGAGAAACGGAATAAAGGTAGATGAAGAAAAGTACTCACGAGCATTGTCAATACGCAAACACTTAATAGAACAATCATACTGCGTACGTACTTCATTATAAAACTGGCAGAAAGAATGAAAAACTTCAGTACGATCTTTTATTAAATATAACCAAGTTGTACGAGTACAATCATCAATGAAAGTGACAAAATACCGAAAACCAAATGAAGACTCTCGATTAGGACCCCACACATCGGAGTGAATTAACTCGAATGGATGAGACGCACGACTCAAAATATGAGGAGAGAAAGACTCACGATGGTGTTTACCTAACTGACACGTTTCACAATTAAACTGAAGACCTGAACTAGACACGAAAGGAAACCGTCGGAGTACGTCTGCTGATGGATGACCAAGACGATAATGTAATCGATAAGGATCATCCACGGCTTTATTCTGAACTGTTGTAGCAGCAGCTATAATCTCAGGTTCCAGGATGTACAACCCACCAGCTTCACTCCCACCACCTATTCGGCGTCCAGTCTTCTGATCCTGAAGAACACACGAAGACGAAGAAAAGATAATATTGCAATCAAGATCACGAGTAAAAGAACTGACTGATAATAGATTGTAAGGAAAGTGTGGAATATGGTAAACAAAAGGTAAGGAGACCGAGGAACTCAATGATACACAACCTGTACCAGTAACTTTGGATTGAGAACCATCTGCTAAGGTGACTGATATAGAAGGAACAGATGAGGTGGATGTGAGAAGACGAGGATCACCAGTCATATGATGAGTGGCACCCGAATCAATAACCCAAGAACGAGGAGGAGTTGTACTGGACAATAGACATGTAGGATCATTACGCTGTGCTAAAGTAGCAGTAGGACCAGAGACAGCACC